AAATTCCAATAAAGTAAGAAGAACTCGAATAGCTAGGACACCTTGGTGCAACTCACTTTTTAAATTCTGTATCTCCTGGAAACAGTAAGTGTATAAGTAAAACCATAATTTTATTTTCAGATTTTTATAGGTAAAATTGGGATTAAAATAAATACCCTTAAAACCACTCTGGATTGTAGTGACAATGAAATCAGAATCCCCTTGTGAAAGAACTTTGAAATACTGTAAATCCTCTACAGATGCAAAGCACTCATAATCACATCATCTAGAACAGTACTGCCCTATTTAAGCTCCATCAGTGAGACAGTCTCCTTAGCAGTAGCTTTCCCAGTGCTGTCTGTGGAGAGCCGGGACTCACTAGCCACGCTTCTTCAGGAGGAGGGAACCACATGTGGTCATACAGACAAAGCACTGCACGAGGGTGTGGGCACCAGGGGGCCTGAAATTTGGCCTCCACAGCTTGCTAAGCCTTGATACCAGTGAAAGGACTTTTATCTTCGCAGAGGGAACACCCTTTTCTAATACGCTCAAGGACACTCTATGTGCTAGCTATAGCCCTGTTCAAAGGTTCCCCATGAATGAAGTGCCTTCTCTTTGTCAAACAAAAAACATATAAACTGCTGAGAAGCTTCTACAAAGCTAAAAGATACCACAGACAAACACATTGCCTTGATCACCATGGTGTCCTCAGCACTTAGATCACTGCCTGACACATAAGAATCACTCAGTAAATACAATGGAAAGACGAAAAAGTTCAAGGAATATTACATTACAAATAATGATATTAAAAAGTGAGCACAGAATAAAATTATTTTTATATAGATGCCTTATTATGGAAAAAGTAAAAACTGTTAAAATTTTTTTTTTTCATTTTTTTTTAAATTCATGGTTTCCTTCATCTCTTCCTACTTAAATACTTTTAGGACATGTCTCAATGCATTTCTTCTTTATTCAAAGTATCCAAAGACTCAAAGTCAATAATTTTCTTCTCTGTATTACCAATGTACGAAAATCCCTACATTAGTCACAGAAGATTAAAATTGCAGCATTACTGTTAGATATTTACATTTTATACTTCAAAGTATACTGAAATAAAGTGGTAGTATATGTACTGTTTAAAAATATGGCTCCTGTTAAAGATGAGAAATGAAATCACATACGTATAAATCCTCATTTGTTTAAAAATTATCTGCATATTTTGATTTGAGAAAATGTTAAGCTCTAAAAATCTTAACAAATCTCATGTGGATGGGTCATTTGTGCTATTTTCTATATATTATTCTATTGCATAATATAATTGTAAATATTTATATAAAATAAGATATAAGACAAGCCTTATGAGTTATTGAGTATAAGAATATATAAATTGCTTACAAAATTATCATTCCAATTAGTATTACTAATTGTAATTACTGGAAAAATAACTAGCTTAAGCTATCAAAGCTAAAAAAACACTGATTATTAGTCAGGAAATTTTAGAAATTAATAGTGACTACAAATTTACTTATAGACATAAAATCATTTTGATTAAAAGAGGGTACTGTTTTCATTTATTTCATTTTTAAGATTAATTTCAGATTAATTAATCTGAAATTAATTTCAAATTAATTAATCTGAAATTAATGCTGCTTTCCATCCAAACAAATATAACAATAATACTAGCTGGGGTAATATTTGTTACAGTAGTTAAAGATGAGAAGAACAGTTTGAAGGAATGAGTCTCTTCTATGTAGAAAGGCTTAGAAATTATGCTGGTGAAAATTAGAAAGTACTGGAGATCAAACCTGCTGTCAATTCGATCAACTCTCAGTGATTCTCAAACAGAAAAAGCTCACAGTGAGAAGACTCTCAAAGAAGCATACAAATATCATGATACATCAAAAAATCATTCTCATTATGAATCACACATAAAAATATTTTATAAAAATCTGAAAATTTGTTCAATACACCTTTTTGGAAAAAGCACAATGAAAATAACAAATTATGTTTGCTTTGATCAGGAAAGAATTTTACACATATCATGTATTTGTAATCTAAATTCCTCAGAAACATGAAGTATATATTTTTTTTATTTTAAAGATAAAAGAATGAAAACATAGTAACAGACATAAACAGAACAACACCCAGACAATAGAAGCAATATAGAATTTCAGACAAGGTGATAGGAAATTAACAATGGTTGTTGTATTACACATTGTTATCTTCAAATTGGTTACTCAGTTAAACAAATATAGTCATGTAAGACTGAGCAAACAACTAAACATTAACTGTTCCTTTCAATAAAACAATGGAAGTCAGTAGTACAACTCAACAAGAGGTACATTGTTAATTATCAGTTCCAAGAGTGGAACCTTTGTCAGTAACCTTATTCTAATCCTCCTTTTCCTAAATCACTATATGTTCAGTCATAGTGAACTAGAAGAAAAAAAGTTTTTATCAAAGCGCTTCATGCTGGAATTCAAGGTACTCTCCCTGTGGCCCACACATACCAAAATACAGCTATGCTTTCATGTGACCTTTCTCCTTACACTCTACTTTCTTGAGGTACTCTCTTTCTGTTCAATACTCTGCTCCTGAACTATGCTCTTGAATCTAACTCTCCCCATCTCTGAACAGTCTTGCTCCACCAATAATTACCTTTTCTCCTTTCAGTCTTTCTGAAGAAGAACTTACACGGCAGCTAGCGTCCCTCAGAGCAAGCAAGAGAATTCCCCAAAGTCACAGCCTTTTATAACTCAACACTGGATGCCACATCCAATTTTTTCTGCCAAATTCTGTTCACTAGAAGCAAGTCACTGTGTCCAGGCCACACACAGAATTACACGAAGCTATGAATAACAGAATGCTGGCTTAAAAGAAGCCTCTCAGGGGCTGCCTGCCATGGCATCTATAGAACAGGAATGGAGACTTGCTAACCAGGTTGTAGAACTTCTTACAAAGGAAGCAATTAATAGGATGTGATAACAGCATGGGACAAACTGACTAGTGATATATAATATAGAACCCAGAAACAAATAAATACATATATGGAATTTTGGGAGATGACTAAGTGACAAGTAATGAGGAAAAGGAGAACTATTCTAAATGCAGATAGAAAAGGTGGTTATCCACATAAGAAATGGAGTCTTAATCTCCGCTTTCACCATTTAAAAAATAAGACCTTAAAACTCTTTGTGAAAACACAGGTAGTGGGCCGGGGATATAGCTCAGCGGCACAGGGCCTGCCTGGCAAGTGCAAGGTCCTCAGTTTGATTCCCAGTACCAAAAAACAAAACAAAACAAAAAAAAAAAACAAAGAAACAAAGAAAACATAGGCAGTAATTTTTTAGCCCTTTAGATAGGAATTATTTCTTAAGCTAAACAGTAAGATGTTAATTATAAAAGTTAAATATGATTAGATTCAGATTAAGAAGTTACCCATTAAAATAACTTTAAAATGGTGAAGTATAGATTTAACAACTGGAAAACACAGTCAACGAAAGATTACTGTCAAAAATAAATAAAGGAATATACATTAGAGGAAAGAAAGCCTTGTTAATAAATGGTATTGGGAAAACTCATTATCCACATGCAGAAGACTGAATCTATATCTAAAACTTTCACCATGTTCTAAACTAAAATAAAAATGGATCAAAGAACTAAATATTAAAACAGAAACACTCAATCTGTTACAAGATAAAGTAGGTAAACCGTTGAAGCTATAGGCATAGGCAAGGACTTTCTGAACAGAATCCTAGTTGGACAGGAAATAGTAGTGAGAATCAGCAAGTGGGACTGTATCAAATTAAAAAACTCCACAAAGAAAAACAAACCAACAGAGTGAAAAGACAACCTACGGAATGGAGAAAAAAATTGTTAGCTGTTCCTCAGACAGAGGACTACTATCTAGAATTTATAAAAAGTTCACAAATATTAGACTACCAAAATAAAAGACCCAATCAAAAAATGGGCAAGTCAAATGAAAAGATACTTCACAGTAAAAGCACAAATGGCCAATAAATACTTGAAGAAATGTTCAACATCTCTGGCAATTAGAGGAATGCAAATTAAAACAATACTGAGATTCTATCTTACCCCAAAAAGAATGGCCATCATCAAAAAATCAAATAATAACAAATTGACAAAGATGCAGGGGTAAAAGGTGGGAATGTAAACTAGTACAACCACTATGGAAATCAGCATGGAGATTCCCTCAAAAAAGAAAACTAGAAATCCCATGTGACCCAGCTATTCCCTTGTAGTTTCCATCAGCAGTGTAAATGTGGGCTGGGGATGTAGCTCAGTGGTACAGCGCCTGCCCGGCAAGCACGAGGCCCTGAGATGGATTCCTGACATCAAAAAAGAAAATAAGAAAAAAAAAAAAAAAAGAGTAAATGTGAAAGCCATAGTAAATCACACAACAAATTTATAGTATGTAAATCACATACTATACAGCAGCCTCCGAACGCACAAGGATTAATTTCAACAATATATAATATTATTGAGGATTACTGGGGTTACAAGGCAAAACCTAAAAGATTATATACCTTCTTATAAAGTTAAAACACCTGGGATTAAACAGTTCCCGCTGACCGTGAGATTCAGCATGACAGTTACCTCAGGTCAGTGGAAGAAGATAAAGGGGGGATGTGTAAGATGAGATGTCAGTTATTATTAAGAACCTCATTTTTGTGGTGGGGAGGTTTGAGATAGTTATCACATTAAAAATAAAGAAATAGCCTGAACTAATCATGAGAGTATGTCATGAAATAAAGATATGTTTAATACAAATCTGGACAGCTAAATTTTTTAAAAGGTCCCACAAGCTGCACAAGGCTTTCTTTGATTGCAACTTGCACATTAATCATAGTCTTCAACAACTCCTTCCGCAAGTGTAATTTGTATCACATGGTGCATCTTGTACTTGTCTCAAATGTAAAGTCTTGCCACCTTACCAAGAATATAAATATTTCCAACTTCCTTAAGGATCTGTTAAACTAATACCGAAACTACCAACTCACCTGTTATGGCTGAGGGAAGCGGAGACGGATGTAGGTACCACAGTCTGTAATCCTTCACCTTCTATCTCAGTACCAACTAGGCAGATGAGCTGGAGTTCTGGTAATCCCACACAGTTTACTTCATGCCAACTTTTACCTGAAAGAGTGTCACTGTGTGGGCAACAATGTTTATCAAAAACAAAAGATTACAATTCCAAACTTCTACCTACTCAGCTAAACAAATTTACTTATGATACTGTCTCTTTTTTAGCCAGGCAGGGTAGCACACGTCTGTAACCCCAGCAGTTGGGAGGCTGAGGCAGAATAGCTGCAAGTTTGAGGCCAGCCTAGGCTACACAATGAGTTCAAAGCCAGCCTGAACTACATAGTAAGACCTTGTCTCAAAAGAAAAGAAAAAAAAAAACTACCTCTTTTTTTTTACTTTTCTAGTCTTTCCCCATACTTAGTCCCAATGTAATTGAATGAATAATACAAAATTAACCAGTAAAATTAATAGCAAATGGATAAATGATTGCTTCATATATTTTAACAGTGCTGTATCCCAACCCCAACTCCTCAAACTCCCACCACAGCCCGAATAATGAAATAATATAAACAAACAACTTACTCTCCATGAGGTCCAGGTAAACCAAGAATGCTATGTATACTTGGGTTGCATCTCCTATATCTAATTCCATCATTTCTAAATACTGAAAATCAAAATGTAATTATCAAATAGAGAAGTAAGAATCTTAATACTGTCTTTTAATAAACACATTTTCTATATATATATATAAAACTACTGTCTAGATTTAGTGGAAGTTAAAAGGCACTCTAAGATCTGATCTCTATCTCTAAAGCATCTACAATTCTTAGAGTAAACCCCGGTATACAGCCTGCCCACCAGTGTCCATGGGGGATTGGTTCCAGGACACCTGACCCTCCACTGATAACAAAATCCAAGAATGTTCAAAACTCTGATATAAAATGCTGCAGTACTTGCATATAAGTAACCTATGCAATATTTCCATATACTTTAAATCCTCTGTAGATTACTTACAATACCTAATACAATATAAATAATATGTAAGTAGTTCTCATACGCATTGTTTAGAGAAAATGACAAGGAAAAAAGTCTGCATGTGTTCAGAACAGATGCAACTTTTTTTCAAATATTTTCAATGCAAAGTTGGTTGACTCTGAGGATGCAGACCTCATGGACATGGATGGCTGACTGTTCTTACAGTTGTTAGGCGAATAACACCATACGGCTGTGACTACAACCACGTAAGTCAGAGGAACTGAGGAGGGCCGGTTGGTGAATGTCTCATGACATACAGAATAGAAGTGAATCTTGTAAACACAGCTAAGTAAACAGAAGTAAAGTAATAGAGTAGGTAATCACACAAAGGTGGGAATAAATCACACATACTAAGAAACCTATAAAGAAATCTATCTGCCAGAAATAAGTATGTTTTTAATAGAATTTTTGTTGGGATACGTTAGTGGGGAGCCTCTGCTTGCCTGGCCTCTTATTGCTCATGGAAAGAGTATTCTAGAGTACTATTTAAACCTGTCTCTACCATTTCTCAGTCAAGGGTAGGGAGATGTTTAATGGTTGAATTTTAAAGAAGCAAACTACTGCTTCTTTCAGACTTGCTGGCAGGCATAGGGGAACATTTTTCAGCAGCCCACTCCTGCAGAGGAAGGATAAAACTGTCCAGATTTGCCAAAGACTAAGCATACAAGCAGTGTGATACAGTGGTGAGACATTAACCAAACCTACACAGGAGCAAATCTGAAGTCATCCTCTCCCATTAGCTCAATGAATGGTAAGCAGACAGGTGTAAGAGAAGAGGGGTATCTGACCCAAACCTCAAATGGATTTTAAAAATGACACTAAAAAAATAACTTCAGGGTAGGTTAGAAAATCTTTATGGTCAAGCTTTAAAGTGTGAATTTATCCATAAGGAAACACTGAAGATTTCTAAGCTAGAGAATAATATAATAAAAGTGGCATCTATATACATTAAATCTGATACCATTTTACTGAATTTCCTGGTACCATTTTATTAGGTAATTTTCTAACTAAATAACAAGAAGAAAGAACTGGAAAATACCTATTATTATTTATTTTCTTCATCTTTTATTTTTTTAAGTCAATTGGATCCTTCAAGAACAAAAATCAAAAGGAAGATACATGATCAAGATTTATGTAGCCATTGACTTGAAAGAGAAAAAGAACCTGTGGGTAACATTAACTCTAGAAGAAGTTTAGAGAAATCTGTTACAATTATATACTTATATAGTATTTTCTACGTATCTATATTCCTTACAAAAATTACTAGTGCTTTGAGATAAGTACTATTACTATCCCTGCCGTTTAGATGAAGAAACAGGCATAATGGAATCAAGCAAAGAAATCGAGGAACAATGAGATCAAGCAACTCAAACCACGAAGCTGGTGACAGAACTGAGATTCGAACTCAAATTTGATTTCACCTTCCTCTCCTTGTTCATTGTTTATCTTTGTATGGCACTGAATAACATTTCCATGCCATTGTTTCTTTTAGGGAAGGATGAAAGGAACAGAGCAGGAAGATAAAATCAAGCAAGAAAAGTTTTTTTTAAAGGTTCACCCTTTTCAGATTTGTATCTTCAACTTTTTTCTTTTCTTGACTGCTTTTAGATTATTATCTACGGATTACTGTTCTCAGACAAAAGAGTGCAATTCCACTACGGAAATGTGCCAGTCCGGTCAGAGATTCCTACAAAACTCACCTCTCCATTCACTGTTTGGGGAGCTTCTGGTATAGACAGCAATTTCTCAAGCAGAAGCAAACAAAGGGCTATCTTTATCTCCCTCGCTAGTAACACAGGAAAATACTCACAAGATGAATAGTTTTCCTTCAGCAATTTATTCAAATTTTCCCTGGAAATCTGGAAAACTGGGAATCTCCACCTGTACAGATCAAGGTGCACACTCTGGGCTTACGGCTACCTTGTAAAATGGTGACTGTGTCTAAACCTTTATCCTTGGGGCCTCCAAAGTCTCACCCAAGGTCCACTGTCTTGCACAGTTACTGAGCTGCAAGGATTAAATACCTCTCAGAAAGGGGCCCTATCTTAGCAGCTCTACCTAGACTTAGAGGAGGGCTTAGGAGGAGTCTCCAGACTGAGAACGGAAGGGTTTGATGTCTTCCTCTTTAAGAAGGTGAGAGGCTGGGAAAGGTGTCAGAGCGATGGTTTAACTCGTTTTAACCAATGAAAACGCTACCGCTCGTGGCCGGCGGCTGTGCACACAGACGCCCTGGGCGAGGACCGGCGTCCCGGGGGAATCCGCCGGCCCCCGGGTGGGGGGGCGACCCGGGAGTTCCGCCTGCGGTACGCTCCGAGACCCGCGCCCGGCTCCTCTCCCGCCTCCTACCTTAGGGTGGGTGCCTATCCAGGCGTCCTCGGGGGCCCATGAGGGAGCGCTGCCGCCACCGCGATCGCTCCCCGAGTCCAAGCCGCTGCAGCCAGCGGTAGGCTCGGAGTCGCCGCGCTCCTCCATGCCGGCGAGGACCGCGCGCGGCTGTGCACCGCGACCGCGGCTCGGCCAGAAGCAGGAGTGCTCTCGCCCGAGTTCCGCTTCCGTGCAGCCCGCAGCCAGGCTCGGAGGACTCCGACCCTGGGAGAAAAGTTGGGGCAGCCTCTATAACGCGGGGAACTGCACCCCAGCAAACACGCTCTCCTTTCCCTGATTTATTCAAATCTGGGCAGACTGTGGTATGAAGAAGATTTCAAGAGTACCACCCTGAGCCCAGAAACCTTTAACCCTCCTTAAGTCAGTGCTGGCTGTAGCTCTCTTGGGAAAGTGGGGGGACTTGACTCCCCTTTGCCTTGAGCATTGAGTGGGTCCTGTGCTCTCATTCCTGGGACAGAAGGAAGCCTCGTTCAGTGCCCTATCACCAAAGTTTAAAGTAGACCCACATTACACCTTTCAAGATCAGAGGAAACAAGAGTTGTTGAGTGCGTGATTAGACGTGACCTGTAAGTAAGGATACAGTTTGGTTAAGGGGCTACTGCCCTAACCAGGGCAAGAAAGGAGTTCCACAATTTAAAGTCCCAGGTAGGATAGAAATTTACTTCCAAACATGACAGCTCAAGAACCTACTATTGAAAATGACAGAGAAGTATTTTAATGTGATGATTATAACTATCCTTAGTGAGATAAAACAAAACATGTTTTCAGTGGATGAAGAGAGAATCTCAAAAGACAAGTAGAAAATCTCAACAGAGAAAAAGAAAAAAAAAGACGTTTAAAACCAAATGGACATTCCATAACTAAAAACTATGAAGTTTCAGGCATTTTTTTTAAAAGCTCACTGGGTAATCGTAACAGCCAAAGGGAGTTGCAGAGGAAGAAATAAGTAAATTTGAAAGTAGAGCAATACAAATCATCCAAAGTGAACAACAAAGAGAAAAATTAGGTGGCTGGGGATTTAGCTCAGCGGCACAGCGCCTGCCTGGCAAGCGCAATGTCGTGAGTTCGTTTCCTGGTACCGGGAAGAAAAAAAAAGAGAGAGAGAGAGAGAGAGAGAAATTAGTTTTAAAAAATTAACAAAGCCTCAGAAACTTGCTACACGTTATTAACTCAATATACATGTAAGTAGAATAACAGAAATAGAATAAGGCTAAAATTTTTGATATAATGACAGAATTTCCCCAAAATTGGTAAAAGACAGAAATGTGCCAATACAAAATGCCAAATAAACAACAACTAAAATAAACTCAAAGCAATCCACATTGTTTCAAATTTTGAAAATTAAAGGAAAAGAGCAAACATCAGTGCGTTAGAAGAAACAGTGCATTACACGTAGGAAGCCATACACGAAAATTGATAAATTGTCCCTGAGTATGTCACATTTAGATATGATCATTAACCTTTCCCTCCACAAAGCAGCTACTAAACTTCAAAGTAGCACATAGCATTTAAATTAGTAAGCTTATTGAAGGCTTGCGCCCTGACACTACGTCAGATGAATGGAAGTGAATAAATCTTTCTGACTCTAGAAAATTGAAATAAGTTCATATGATATTTACAGAAGCATTCAGAGCATGTTGTTGCTAATCTGAGTGGTGGGGAAATTTTATAAATCAGAAAGAAGATCTACTAGTGTTAGATCCTATATGAACAAGGCCCAAATATCTTCAAGGAACAGTTTTCAGCTTAAATTTAAGAAAAAAATGAAGAGCCAAGGGTGGTGATAGAGAAACCCAGAAGGATGAAGAAAGAATCACAAAATCAAAAAATCAGCAGAGGAATGCCATCCTTCAGCAAATAGATTAGGTACTTTTGCTTAGGAAAAAGCATTATATATTCAAGTCTAAATATTCAATTCTTCCGACTTTTAATGTCACCTTAGGACATTGAAAGTAGCTAGACAATGAAAATAGAGTACTTCTTGGCTTCTGCAGTAAGCAATAAAAGTTTTAGATAGGTCTTGCTGATCGGAAATGGCTAAGAACAAACACAAATATGAGGCCACTTTGCAAACCTAGTATTTAAATTACAGAATCAAGATGCTATTGTGGCAATCTAAAGTGAAATTCACCAAAGAACAGGGTTGAGTTTCAGCTTCTAAAAGACTGAAGGATTTCTGCTTTTGTAAGTATTTCAATAGCTCACTATGGTAGAGAACCAAAATGGTTAGAAAAAATTCAGTAATAACAAATAAGATTCCCTCCTGAGTATACGGCATTTAATCGAATTCTGTGTAATCTAGCACTTGCTGCACTGATTTCCCAACTTGATATCTTGACCCAGGCCATTCTATTCATATAAAAAAATCTCTAACATTTAGGCAGAGATGCATTAATTCAGTTACAGTCTCTAGAGGAAAAGGAAGCATTGAATTATGATGTAAATCTTTAGTGTGTTAAAAAGAAAAAGATTTTTCACTGTATTGTGTAAGACAATGATCTCAAGTTGAAAATTTTCAGTTAACAGTCAAGATAAGCTTTTCATCATCAGGCTTTCCTAGATCTTGCTCATTTTGGGGGCACAAGCCATAGAATTTGTCATTTGGATTTCAAGAATTGGTGACAGTAATTCTGGTAGAATATTTAGAAAACTGTAATACATTACTACTCAAACATATGACCATATTTGAGGGATCTCTATCATGTGGAAAAAATTAGAATATTCTAGATGCCATTCTGTTTTTTCCATAAATTTTTCCAGTGCAATCTAAATTCCCCATTTATGAAATCAAGATGTAGTATAGTTAATTCTTAGGGCTGCTTACATTTAAAACAAAACAGCAAAAATAAGGTACCTAGGGAAAAAGTAAGCAAGATCTTTATAGAGAACATTTGAATGTTATTGAAGATTATTTGAGGGTACCTAAGGAAAAGTACAAATACGCTGTGCCTATGGACAGAAAGATTAAAGATTAAATTGTAATTATGGCAGTTTCCCCTAAATTGACCTATAGATTTTAGCAATTCCAATCAAAATTCCAAAAGATAAAATCTCAACAGATTCCTGATTCTTGATAAGCTGTCTCTGAAATGGAGGGATATAGGGCCAAAATGACCAAGATTTTTCTTATGAACAAATAGAGAGAACATCTTATAAAGGTCTTAAATCAAGAGTATGTGACGGTGGTACAGGGGCAGGTAAAAAAGTCAATAGAGCAAAGTACAGACCCAAGGAACAGACCCATACATGTATGAACAGAGGTGAAGTTGCAGGTGTCGCATGATTCAACAAATGGTACAGAGGCAAACACTTTAAAATTTCTATGAGAAAACACAAAAGAATACTTTATTTTTTTAATTTTATTTTAAAGAGAGTAGTACATGAGAAACAAACAAACAAAAAATAGAACAGTAGCAGCATACCAGTAAAAAGAATACTTTATAATCTCAAAATAGAGATGCATTTCTTAAACAAAATACAAAAAGCATAACTGTATGAAAACAGTTTAACAAATCTGGCTATATTTCAATCAAGAATTTTTGGCACAAAGAGAGCGAGGTTTTGGAAGAGACTTGGAGAAGAAATCTGAACATGTAATTGAAAGTCTATATATTGAACTTCTATGAATCAATTAGGAAGCAAAATGAAACACCTCCTAAGGAAAAAAAGACACAAATAGTCAGTGAGCATGAATTCATGCTCAAGAACATGAGTTGGGTGAGAAAGTGCAAATTGAAGCAAAGCACAATAACACATCCATCAGATTAGCAACAAAAACCAGGAGCTGGTTGAAAAAAAGAGCAAAGGAAAGATCCTCAAAGTATGACAAAGTCTATTCCCAGCTACACATCCTAGAGCAATATTTTAAAAATGAACTTCTAGTACCATTAATGGTTGTGAAATAACTCAAATAGGTGGAGTATAGTTTTATAGAAGGAATTATTTAAAAATCAATATATAGCTTCAATCAACAACTTGAATGGATCTCAAATAAAAAACCTACAGTAGAAAATGTTAGCCACTAAGGAATACATAAGATATGATTTAAGTTATATAAAATTCATATATAGTAGCATTATTTGTAACAGCCCCCAAATGGAAACATCCTAAATATCCATCAGCTAATTAATGTACAGTAAAAATGTGGTGTGTTCACGTGGTGGGGTGTCATTTGGTAATAGAAAGGGAAAAAGTACCAACTTGTGCCACAACATGGATGAAAGTTGACATCATGATGCTGAAAGAAAAGACCAAGTCATAAAGCATCACATATTCTGCAATTTCATTTGTATGAAGTGTCTAAAATAGGCAAATTTACAGGGACAAAAAGTAGTTTCCTGAAGTTCTCCTAGAGCTGGGGACAATGGGGGTGGGCAAAGAGGCAGAGAGACAGAGAGATTGGAATTGGCTCCTGTGGGCTAGAAATCTCAAATCTACAGGGTAGGCTGGGAGGCAGGAGAGCTACGGAAGAGTTGATGTTGCTGCCCTGAGCCCAAAGGTGTAATTCCTTCCTTTTTTAAGGATTTCATTCTTTTCTTGTAAGCCTTCAGTACTCTGGACAAGGCCCACCCACCTTATGAAAGGAATCTGCTTTCAAGATCTACTGATTTAATTGTTAATCATGTCTGGAAAAAAAATCCTCACAGCAGCATCTACACTGATTTGTTCAAGCAATAGAGCACTTTAGCTAAGCCAAGTTAAAAATCTACCAATGCAAGAAGTAAAGAAAATTTAAAAATCTGATTAAAACAAAATTCAGCCTAGTGCTCATCTCTGGGTAATAGAGCAAACGTCATCACAAAAGGGACACAGAGAGCCTCCAATTAATGGTCATGTTCTGTTTCTCAAGGCAGGTACTAGGTACAGGGTCATTATTTTATTAGTGGTATTTTAGCTAGTGATTTATGGATTACACATGTATTAATTCATAATATATATTCTGCATTTCTTAAATGTTTTATGTTAAATTTTTTTCTGGACTACAAAGGGACAATAAGTTGGCATTTCTATAAATAAAGAGTTGCATGTATACAGCCCTGAAATAAAACTTAGCTTTGTAAATATGAAAAGAGATCAAAAGCAATTCATAGTCCAAAAAATTTCCCATCTCTTAATAGACATTTATTCAACATCTGCT